AATTATGAAAATGTTTGAAATGCGGGCGCTATCAGCAACAGGTTTTATCTCGAAATTCAAAATTCTTTCATCCTAATTAGGGTTTACTGGGACTCCCAAAGCTCTTAGAAATCATTGTGTATAGTACTTGTGAGATAAGATTTTCTACATACAAGTTTTCCATTATTTGTTCCAAATTTCGTTACGTAACAAGTACCATTGTGAAACACACGTCTAGATTAAAAGTGTAAGTAAATAACTTGTAATCGGCCGTTACAAATTTAAGCTAATCTAATTTGAAGTAGTATAGGTACCATTTATTTAATTATACTTAATGGTACGGCGCATCATTTGCTGGAATGATATTCTAAATCGTATTCTGGAGGCCGATATGGCTTGAGTCTGTTTACCTAAAGTGTAATTAGCCCGTTCGAGGCCACATAACAACGTTAATTACATACACTAAATTGCTATGATCTGACTCTTTCGCACTAAGAAAAATCATTAGGTCGAAGAAGAAATCGAACGAACTGCTAGTGCAAACCTTCCGTCAATTTTTATAGAAAATCAAGGAATATTTCAATCTCTAAAAATATTTACTACGCCTTATAAACAAACAAGATACGAAGAATTGCATACGATTTTCAGTAAGGGAATTGTTTGCCACTCAGCTCGTATTCGGAAACCAGACTTTTAATCCGGCTCATATATACAACTCCTAGAAATCGATTGGTTTGACATCGCTATCTCTTGTAGTTCTCGAGTTGGAAGAGGAACAGATAGACGGACAAAACCATCACATAAAGGATGTGTCATATTTTGGGCACCCATCAGTGTCAGCCAGGACTTGTCAAAAGCGTTATTTAGGCACTTTTTTGGCTAGGAAAACACGAAAATGCTTATAAACCACGTGCAGTTTGACCTGAAATCCTGATTTTTGCGCACTGATTTATTTACGACGAACATAATTGTTTCATTTATATTTAAATGCAATGCGTAATTACGATTGCACTTTTAATTTGTTATTAAATTTAAATGGCTTTAAACATGATAAACTGTCGCTATCGCTCATTGAACATGCTAATTATTATTTTCTTCTAATTGCCGATGAATAAAGCCGGGGTTTAAGGATACACGATACAATAAAAATTATTGTTATTTATTGTTACACTTTGCAAAGGCGCACGACGTTTCAAAAATACACCTATGACCTAAGATAAGTTTTCTACAAACATTTAAGACATTTTTGCTTAAAAAAGGAACTTGAAATGAACAATGAATTTTAGGGAAAATTGATGGGAATTTAAGGGGAACTTTAGAGAGTTTTTACAGTAAACGTGAATCAAGGAAAACACACATACGGATCTCTTGGTGAACGAGAGAGAAAATCCTGAAAAAAAACTTCATAGGAACTTGAGATAGGCTTAAAAAGAAACCTGAAAGACACTTAAGCGTATAGTAATTTCCACTCATGACTATCGATGTCGAATGCACAATCAGGTAAGTAACAATAACGAAAAGAGTAAGTCAGAAATAAGAAGCCTAAAAATGATTATTCAAAACCAAGCGCCTTAAAACTTGTAAAATATATCCGCAAATGCGTCTGTGAAGTACGGAAAGCACAAGAGAAAAACTTCACTAAACTTATACAGCCACAATAAAAATCCCAAAAATGGTGATAAAAATTGTCAAATAAGCACGTCTTTGTACGAAGAAGTGCGTGCGTTGAAAGAAATTAAAGAAAACTCTGCACGACCTCTAGGGACGAAACAAAGAACTAAAGTAATATGAAATTTCTATAACAGCGAAATTAAAGAACCAAGGTAATGAGAAATCTACTACATAAATTAACTTACATCTAAAACTAGTGAATTACAAACGAAACACCTAGCTATCGTGAGAATAATAAATTTAAATATTAGAGCAAGAATTTAAATAAGAGCACGAATCTAAAGTTACTTAAACGGCATTTTATCGGTAAATGGAAAAACCGTAACATACTCCCCAACCCCAAATATTCAAAATTATTGTTTACATCACTCAAAACTCTTATGCCCGTTTGCACCGACAAATTTAAGGGGAGCTTAGCTTAAGCATAGCTTAAAATCCATGGTAACCATTGTCTCAATAATCGTTGTCATGGATTTTAAGGTACGCTTAAGCTAAGCTCCACTTAAATTCGTGGGTGCAAACGGCCATTAGAAAATTAAATGTTCAATTAAAACTCCACTAATTAACCAAACTCTCAATCGAGAATGATCAATTGGTAATTAACTGACGACTATATCAACCCCAAAAGGTTCCCAAAAACAAAATGAAATTGCTTCGATAATGAAAACTGGGCTAGTATAGACCAGCGGGGGGGGGGGGGCCCCGGAAACCCTCTAAAAGAAGAACATACTATGTGCGGGTATTGTTTTTTCTAGAAACATATTATATGGTCAAAGAAATGTCTCCATATATAGGGTGTCCATTTTAAAACTTGCAGTCGGCCATATTTTCCAAACTAAAGAAGATATTGAAAATCGCGAAAAACCGTTTCGGGGGTATCGAGGAGGAACCAGAATGACGTTATGAGTGACAACCCCCCACCCCCCTTAAATTCTTTATTCTGTTCTCCCAATAGCAAAAAAATTTTCTAATACAAATGTCCCCGAAAGTTTTTGACATTAAAAAACGGGCCCCCATGAATATTATATTCTCCTGGTAACAAAAAATCTGACGGATACTGTATGGATTGGGAGTCAAAATACTTGCATCCCCGTTAGCACGACTCATTTAAAGCACCTTTAATTATAAAGAATCGTTCAACAGTATTTCCTAAGAATAATCCTTGGTAAATCGAAAGTGCTTTTTCATACGCAAATTTTTGTTTAAACGCTCAAATAACAACCTCGAAGATCGTTAATAATAGCCTTACATTATTAACAAAAACAAATTAATTACATTTAATTGTTTGAAAACCCAGTTCAGGTACACTTACAGAATTTGTTTTATCAACGTAATATTATTCATATTTTCTTTATCAAGGAGTCATCATAGAGCGAAAGAGAGCTTATTAAAGTCCTCGTGTGAGATCGAAGGGGCTTCAGCGCATTTTTGTGTAGCAGATCCGATAAGAGGTAGAGGAGGAGGGGTATGGTTGGTAGAAATTAATTCCTTTCGTTGAGACCTTTCATTAGAGTACCATGATAGAACTAGTTCCACTTCGCCCCGCCCCCCACCCCTCCTCCCCGTACTTTGATAAGAGGACAGAAAGAAGGGCAGTACTTGGTAGAAAACAGTTCCTTCCGTTGAGACCTTTAATTAGAATACAATGAGATATCGAATAAATTTTGCCCCCCCCCCCTCAGGCCCGGTCGCTCGGTAATCTCGAAAAAGAGTCGCACGGGAAAGTTATAGTTTGTACAAATCAATTTATTTGGTTGAGACTTTTCATTATAATACCATGAAGGATAGAACATGTGTTTACCCCCCCCCCCTTTTCTAAAGCTTAACTTGGCACCACTAAAGGCATGCGTATGCAAAATCTGAGACGAATTGGTTGTCGTATATAAAAGTTATGCACGTTTAACTTTCAAAAACAGCATCTCAGGAAATAATTGGTGGAGGGGGGGGGGGGCTTTTAGACAGCGAAATTTGATGGCCGTCTGGCACACCTTCAAGGTATAGGCTACCTATTGCAAAAAATTCCAGGACTCTAGGACCATTCCCCTAGAAGTAGTTCGAAACGGCAGAAGTGGGTCCGGACGGACGGACAAAAAGCAAACAGTAGCACATTTTTTTTCAAAGTGCACTAAAAACAAAATTCCGTCACGCGCGTTTACAAGATCTTTCCGACGGCATCAATTTGAACACAATCGGGTCAAAACTGTAAAAAGAATAGGAAAAACTGAAACCTTTCCAGGTTAGTATAACACACTCGGGGATGGCGCCCAGATGTCGCCGACCACGCATCATGTAGCGTCGCCACCTTTGAATTTTAGAAACATCTGCATTGCAATCGATTTTTGAGGGTTGGTTGGTGATAGTACGTACTATTAAAGGTTAAGGATAGTCCCTACATTTCCTTATTTTTGAATTTTGAATAATTAAGTAACGATCAACCAGCAAACGTAAAAGTGTAACTAACAAACAGTAACAAATGACCAACAAACCGATTGCAATAAATATATTTTGCAAATTCAAAAATCGGGAGGGGGGGGCTAATTATACGCCCAAATTTTGAAATTTGAATAATTTAATAACGATCAACCAACAAACGTGAAAATGTAATTAACGAACACTAACAAATGACCAACAAACCGATTGCAATAAATATAGTTTGAAATTTCAAAAAGTGGGGGGCTAATTATACCCCCAGATTTTGAAATCTGAATAATTTAATAACGATCAACCAACAAACGTGAAAATGTAACTAACAAACAGCAACAAACGACCAACATACCATTGCAATAAAAAATCAAAAAGTGGGGGGGGGGCAACTATACGCCCACATGTTTGAATTTTGAATAATTAAGTACCGATCAACCAACAAACTTAAAAATGTAACTAACAAATAACCAACAAGCCGATTGCTATAAATATATTTTGAAAATTCAAAAAGCGGGGGGGGGCTAATTATACGCCCAAGTTTTGAAATTTGAATAATTCAATACCGCTCAACCAACAAACGTGAAAATGTTTTTTTTCCTTGCTGGTGAAAATGAAATACCTACGCCACAATCTATAATATAATTGCGCTGACTTTCATCCCTAAACAAGAAAGACTACCCATTTTGAATAAATAAGTTGGCGGCTTCGCCACGAGAATAAAGTAAACAAAGTTATCTTTTGTGAAGGATCGTGGATGCGCGTTGAAAATAAAACGTAATTGTCTCCTCAAATCCATTTACATAATTCCCAAGGTTGTAATAAATGATAGAAGAAGAACGAGTTCAGTTCGAAAAGGGTCTCGTTTTAAATCACCTGAGAGTATTAAAATTCCATTGTTACGTTGCTAGTAAGAGCCCCTCTTTTGAGGTCGGGTAGGGGGTTAATAATGTGTAGTAGGTACACACACTTAGATTTATTTGTCACCATCATTCTCATCTCGTCGTTGGCTAACGGCTAAAAAGTCCCACTATCATTATTTTCTCGTACGAGTCGAGCGAGCGAGAGGAGGACCCCAACCTCTCCTTCTCATTCCCAATCGTAAACTCGAGCGCTACGTATCGCTCGCCTGTAAATTCACGCGCGCGCGTTTTCAAAATCGGAACGGCGACACTAAAAAGAAAGTGGAACGTCGCGTGTAGAAAGAAAAAACAAAAAAAATGAGTGAAACTATCTCCTAAGGTGGAGATAGATAATTAGTGCCTTATTAAGTGTGTAGTTTAAGCATGTTGTTGGCGACTCCTTTTATGCCCTTTGATAGTGCGCCCGCAAGTGGCGGACCTCCGAGGGTCATTTCGGAGATACGAAAACAAAATCCCATCGTGAACAGGGAGAGGCGGGAGCAAATTCGGCCGAGAATAAGCGGTAAGTCGAATTATTTCGCACATGTGAACCGTTTAAAAATAAATTAATTTTTTGCAACGGTCTTTACACCACATGGGGTTTAACAGTTGAAGGGCCTCGGGGGACTTTTTCTGCTATCTCGAGCCCAGTTTGTGATTAGATAATGAGCGATTGGTTATTATTGAAAAATGTAGGTGCAGTGTGAGTGTGTGTTGAGTAAGGGCAAAAACAATGTGCGTTCGAAAAAAACCGCCCCCGAATTGAGCACTTCGGATAAATATGAATAAAACCTCCCATTTGTTTAAGATCTTTGATATTTACATTTTTTTCTCAAAAAATGCACCCCTTTCGGGCGAGAACCAAAAAATTGATTTCCTTTTTTCAAAATAAGTAGTGATATTTTGAAATGATTTTTTAATAGACCTAAATGACTCTTTTTTAAAACGAAGATTCGAATCTAAAGAAACGAAACAGAAAACGGAATGAATGAATATAATTCGGCTATTGTTCAATAAAACAATAACAGAAGAATCCTTTTCTTCGCGAGGGAAAGAATGATCCCAAGTTCTGTGCGTGTACCTGAACTGGTTTTCCAAACAATTAATTTTAATTGATTTGTTTTTGTGAATAATGAAAGGTCATTATCGAACGATCCTCGAGGTTGTTATTTGTATTTGAGCTTCTAAACAAAAATTTGCGTACGAACATTCGAGTTACCAAGGATTTTTTAATTGAGGAAATCGTTTTGAGTTACACTTTAAATTGTTCCCATTAGCGCAAAAGTATTTTGGGTCGTAATACTCGTAATGCCTACAGGGACCAGAGGAATATAATAAACGAGAAGGTTATTTTTTAGCGCCAAGAACTTTCTGGAACCTTTGTATCAGAAAATCATAATGAACGAGGAGATATCTGTGCTCCTAATACATAGCGCATCTGTTGTATTAAGACAATATAATGAAATAGGGGGTAGTTCTACTCCTAATGCATGTGTCGGAAAATGTCATAAGTATTCTCTGCATACCAGAAGAACATAATTAACGAGAAGGATTGGAACTTTTATTTCAAGAGAATATAATAAGTGAAGTCCAGTAAAAATTAGTAGGTACACTTTCTCTGGCTGCCAGAAGAATGCAATAAACGATCAGGTCTTTTTGTACTCCTAATACATAAATCATCCGCCAGAAAAAATGCTACCAGAAAAACATAATAAACGTAGACACCTTTTTCTAGCGTATAGTGGAAAGTTTCATCAATTTATCTTCGATCGATCTTTGTGAACTGTTGTATTAGGAGAATATAATTTTTTAAATTTTCTTTAGCTAGCCAGCTTTCTTTAGGAGAACACGAAGGGAACATAATTAACCTTAAGAGGAATTTTTCAATTTGTTTTTGCTTTAACTTTCGGGATTATTTTTGTATCAGGAGGATATGATCAACTTGCTGCTCCTAATACATAAGACCATCCGTCAGGAAAAACTGTAAATATTCTCTTGCTTCCGGGACACCACAACGTGGAAGTCTTTTTCTGGCGTGAACTGGAACATTTGAGCAGTTTATTTTAGGTTAACTTTCGAGAACTTTTGTATCAGGAAGAGTGTAATGAGCGATGGTACATCTCCATCTTATACATTTAGTATCTGTCAAAAATTTGAAAATATTCTCTGGATAGCTCGTTTCTTACCATGAGAACATAATTAACCGAGGAGGTCTTTTTCTGTCATCCAGAAGAATTTCGGAAACTTTTGTAATCAGGAAAAAATAACGATTTCCTAATATACAGGGTGTTCCTAAATATGATGTAGGTAAATACCGAAGGGGCTAATTCATTGACGCTAAACGTTCATATAAACACACGTTCGGAAACGCTTCGTTATTCATCTACAGGGTGTTAAAATTTCAAGAGACGTTATATGAAGGAGTCATCGAAAATTTAAAAAAATTACCCTTGAAATTCGGGTCGCAACCTAATGAGTTCAAAAGTGCGTATTCAGCCTAACCTGTAACAGACACAAACAAATAAACGGGGTAGTGAATAGCGCGGCACATAAAATATTGCGTAAGCAATGGCTAACGTCTGACACGGGTCACGTAAATCGGATACTAAAACCGTAATTAATACTCAATAAGAATCAATAACCCGAAAGCAAAATTTTAGACCAACCACGATTTATCCTTAGAATTTTGGTATTAAAGCATAAACGGAGAGAACATTATAAACGAAGCGGTCAAAAGGGACGTTCTTCCAAGAATTTATTTTTTTAACTTTTGAGAGCGTTCATATCAGGAGAACATAAAGAACGGGACATCTAACATAAAGTGGAACGTTTCAGCACTTTATTTGCCCTTAAGTTTCCGGGAAATTTTATAATATAGGAGAATATAGTGAGTGATGGGATACCTCTGCTCGTAATACAGACAGTATCAGTTGGAATTGTACAGGAGAACATAATAGACTAAGAAATATTCCAAATAGAACCGTTTTTCGCTTATATGCCGCACACTTTAGTATAAGCACATTATAATGAGTGGTGAGATCATCTCTGCGCCTAAAATATAGAGTATTTGTCTGCATATTTTCCGGAGCTACCAGGAGAACATAACAAACGAAATTTTTTTGATGTTTTAGTAATTAATTTTGGCCTAAACTTTATAATGAGCGACGTGGTACCTATGTTCCTAATACAAAGGTTTCCCTTGAAATAATTTTCTCGACTTTCTATGACTACCAGGAGAACATAATAAACGGTTTTGAAAGGAATATTTCAACAATTTATTTTTACTTACACTTTCAGAGGTTTTTTTATACCAGGAGAATATCAAGAGCGATAAGATATCTCTGCTCCTAATTCGTAGAGAATCCGTTTCTACATTTTTTTCAGGTTATCAGGCAAGCAGAATAAACGTTGAGGTCTTTTTCTAGCATAAAATGGAACGTTTCAGTAATTTATTTTCGCTTACACTTTCGTAAAGAACTGAATGAACGAAGGGGCAACACTATTTCCACTTATACCTTTGGGAATTCTTCTATTAAGAGAGTATAATTAGAGATGTGCTCCCTCTGTTTCTAATACATAGAGTATATGTTTTTTTTTAAATATGCCTGGCTACCAGGAAGGCATAATAACAGTGAGGTCTTTTTGATCAATGTTTCAAAATCGGTTAAACCATCGGGAATCACCGACAAATGTCGGAAAAATTTTCTCTGGCTACCAGGAGCGCATAATAAATAAGTCTAGTTTCAAGAGGACTGTTTCGCAATTTATTTTTGCTTAAATTTTGTGGAACTTGCATCGCGAGAAAATAGTGAACGATAATTGCTCCTCATGTATAGAGCACCAGGAAATCATAATAAACGTTAAGTTGTTTCTCTAGTATAAAGCGAGGTATAAAGTATCAGCAGCTTATCTTCGTTTAAACTTTTGAGAACTTTTGGATCAGAAGATTATAATGAGGGTTGGGGTAGATACCTATGCTTCTAATATGTAAACTCTGCCGGAAAATTTTTCTCTGGCTACCAGGAGAACATAATAAGTGACAAGGGCTCTCTTCCAATAATTTTTTTTTAGTTTTCGCGAGCTTTTATATTAGGAGAATATAATGCGAGTAAGATATATAGAGCATCGGTCAGTAAAAATGGAAAATGTTTTGTGGCTACCAGGAAGACATAATAAACGGCAACGTTTCAGTAATTTATTTTCCCTTCCAAGAGGACTTTATTTTCGCTTTAACTTTCGCAATCTTTTGTATCAGGAGAATACAGCGAGTGTGGGGGTTTCTCTGCTCCTAATACATTGGTGGAACAATTTGTACATTTTGTGTAGCTATCAGGAACTTGTACTTTCGGAAACTTTTGCATCAAGAGAATGTAATAAGCGATGAGATTTCGGCTCCTAATACATTAAGGATTCGCAAAAAATTTATACCTATTATCTGATTGCCAGGAACACCTAATACACGTGGAGGTTTTTTTCTACTATATAGTGGAAGGCGAGGTGGAAGGTTTCAGCAATTTTTGCATTTGGGAAGGTTTATGTCAAGACAATATAAGAAGCGAGGAGGTATATCTGATTCTAATATATACAGTATCCGTCAGAACAATTTTGTGTAACTTTTTTTTATTACCAGGAGAACATTATAATCGACGAAGAAATATTCCAAAAAGAACTATTTTCCATTAAAATGTAGGAAACTTTAGTATATGGACATTATAATCAGTAGTAAGATCACCACCTCTGCGCCTAAGACCTACAGTATTTATCAAAAAAATTTGTAAATTTTCTCCAGTTACCAGGAGAACATAAACGAGAATATTTTTAATGTTTCAACAATTAATTTTTGCTTAAATTTTATAATGAACGAGGTGGTATCTCCGTTAGAATAATTTTCTCAACTTGACTACCAGGAGAAAATAATAAACGAAGCGGCCAAAAGGGGCGTTCTTCCAACAATTTATCATTTTTAACTTTCGGGAGCTTTTATATCAGGAGAACATAAAAAGCGATAAGATATATCAAGCCGTTCGCGACCCTGTGCCACTTTTTTGTGAAACCACAAACAGAATTAATGTAGCTACACTTGTTTCACAGATACAGGGCGCAAACGAAAAGTTTGATTTTTTAAGATGTTACCATATCTTAATCATGTGTGTTCAAAGTTTTGAAATAATCGTCAGTGATTTTTATTGATTGGTATCGGCTGCCCTAGTTACCATGGATACAATAAACAAAACAGAATCTCTTTATACTATTTAAAAACCGTACTTAACAAATGTTTCTATTTTTGAGTCATGGCCAAAAATAAAAAAAAACATATAGGCTGTGATACATCAATGTAATCAGAAAAGAATGGAAAAAATTGACGTTAAGATATACAGGGTGTTGCATTTAAAAAATACCAAACATCTCAGAAAAGGTGGTTCAAAATCATTTTGACAAAAATATGCACTTTTTACCTTTTTCTACGTTACATGGGTAGCAAGATATAGCACCCCAAAAATTAAAACTTGCACCCTGAATCTC